ATCGAGGTATGCAGTTTATTCAAAGCCGCAGAATCGAAAGAGATCCGTTTGGTTTGCTTGATCACGTCATCATGGACAGTGGTTGCACCAACACCACCATTTGTAATGGTGAACTCATGCATGGACTTCGTCAAGCTGAGAAATAACTTGATATGCACACTAACGTGGGCAGCAGAGTTCTCGATGAAGAAGGGTTTTTAGGAACATTTCCGCCTCCAGTTTATTATGATGAAGACGGAATTGCCAATGTACTTGCTATGCGTGAGATGATTGCTGCGGGATACCACATTACTATGGATACTGATTTTGACAATGCCTTTGTTGTGCATTGCGATGGAGACAGACAGATGCGATTTTTTAATCGTAAGGGTGTGTATGTGTTGGAGCAACGTGGAGCGAATGTCGAACCAGGTGGCAAAGAGACAAGTGCGATGTATCGCCAGTTAAGCAACGTAAATAAGCAACCCCATTTCGAACTTTCTTCAAAACAGAATGGAAATGCTGGACTCGGGATGACTGCGAAAATGGCAACAGTTCGAAAGAACAAGGAAGGATTCACTCCAAGACAAGTCAAGGCTGCGATGGAAGCGAGAAGTGTGATGCACGTACTCAATGCCCCAAGCACCAAAAGTCTGAAGTATGCGATCCGATTTGGTCTCATCAAGAACTGTCCTATCACTAAAGAAGCGATCAATCATGCCAAAGCAATCTTTGGACCTGACGCCTCTACATTGAAAGGCAAGTCAACAAGACCAACTCCGAAGAAGACGTATGACGACTTCTTCAGTCCACCAGAGGAATTGTATCAGCACAATCGATCTATTACCGTCTGTATTGATCACATGGAATTCGAGAATGCTAAGTTTCTCACCTGCATTGATACCACTGTGCGTTATCGCTCGTGTATTCCCGTGCAGAACCTGAAGACTGACCCTGTATTTGAAGCATTGGATAAGATATTCCGCCGCTACAACAAGGCAGGTTTTCAAGTCAAGATCATCAAAGGTGATCTGGCATTCATTCCTCTTACGGATGATATGCTGGACGATACGGGTGTTACTATTGACCCAAATTCAGCTGGAGACCACGAGCCTACAGCTGAGCGAAACAATCCGACGCTGAAAGATAGAGTCAGAGTAGCTCTTGCACGACTACCCTACAAAGTGGTACCAAAAATGATCACTGAATGTCTTGGACCAGAAAGACAGTATTTCTTCACATTTCAGTCCACAGCAACTCATTGATAATGTCAATATCAACTACAAGAGTGACATGGTTGCTGAACTTGGACAGTATGTACATGCAATTGGGACGGATTCCAACAATTCGATGGAACCGCGAAGTATTGAGGCGATTTACATTGAACCTGCGAAGGGACAACGTACAGGGCACCGAGCGCTCAACCTGAATACTAAGAAGATGATTTCTCGACCCAAGGTTGTTGTACTACCCGTTACCGATCAAGTAATCCAGCGTGTTGAAGCTTGGGCTGCTGCCAAAGGTGTTACTTCCATGAAGTTCTTTGATAAGAAGAGAGACTTGGAAACATTTCAAGATGGCGATCAAATTGCAGGAGTGGATGACACGGAACAAGGTTACTCACTTCTGTTTTGAGGTGCTTCTGACCTGCTGGCGCGCAAAGGACACATCGGGCTAAGGGGTGAATGAGACATGCCATTTCCGACTAATGCGACTTTTAAGGCCCCGCATTGCCTAGCAGAAGCAGGTTTTGTTTCTGTGCGATGAACGCGCGGTAGTATTGCATTTTCATTTTATACTGCAAAAAAAACCGGTTGTGCCTCTTCCGACTCAACCGATTACTGTTTTTCTATTTTCCACGCCAGCCCGTTAGAAGCACATTTTGCTGGGAACGAAACAGAAGTGACTTAGAGGAAGCCTTTGATCAGGACTATGAACCTGAAGAAGAAGAAGAACGTGGACAATTCGATGATATTGATGACTCCGAAAGGAAAGAGCTCTTGGCAGATGCAGACAATGATGTCGATGATATGCCGGAACTCACTGTCAGATTCCAAGGGGATGATGACTATGAATCAGATGACGACGATTCGGGTGATGAAGGCGATGAAGAGGAAGAACCTACTGTGGCCGATTTGGATCACCATCAAGAAGATGTCGATAGAGGAACCGATGATATTGGGAGCCTCGTTACTGATCTGGAGGATCTACAAGAACCGCCAGAAGAAGAGATTGTATTTGAGCCTGAATTGCCTCAAGTAGCAAAACTCACTCGATCTGGGCAAACGTATGCGCAAGCTACAATGTCAGGGCTGAACCTATCTCAGGTTCCAAAGAAAACAAGAGAATGGCCTTCAAGCAGGAGTGGCAGTTCTGCCAATAAGAACAAAAAAAATCGAGTTGCGACAAGACGCAAGCATCGAGAGAGGGAATTATAATCTGGTATTTGTACCAAAGAGGGAAGTCGCAGTACCAAGGACAGTAAAGCTATACTTGAAGCACAGCACAATCTATGTTTCCGACAGATTGGGAATGAGATGAAAGCTGAATATGAAGAGCACGACGCTATTCTGATCGCTCGTTGCATGATGCAGATCAAAGCAAAGTTTGATACTGATGAAGGTCTGAGCTTCATTCAACAGAAATACATCAATCAAGGACTGAAGAAGTTCGGTGATGATGGAAAAGACGCTGTGGATAAGGAATTGAGACAAATGCTCCTGAGAGATTGTTTTACTCCCGAATTTGTGAAAGACATGACCGCGTCTGAGCGAAAGAAGGCCCAATCAGCAATGATGTTACTTGCGGAAAAGCAATTCGAAAAGACAATTAAAGGTCGCCTGGTATTCCGAGGCGATGGAACTTGTGAATGGTTATCGCGAGAGGACACTGCAAGTCCAACTGCTTCACAAGAAGCAATCACCACTACTTGTGTTATTGATGCACACGAAGGTAGAGATATAATGACGCTGGACGTGCCTAACGCTTTCATTCAAACTTATATGCCTGATGCTAAGGAGGGAGAAGATCGTATCTACATGAAAATCACTGGCATGATGGTCCAGATATTGATTGACATGGCCCCAGAGTATTGCAAATACGTTGTATTAGAGAACGGAAAACGAGTAATCTATGTTCGGGTACTACGTGCTATATATGGGATGTTGCAATCGAGCCTCCTATTCTATAATCAATTTTGAAGTGATTTGGAGGCAAAGGGATTTGTTTTCAATCCGTTTGACCCGTGTGTTGCTAACAAAGTTGTTAATGAAAAACAGCAAACTATCAGATTTCATGTTGACGATCTTATGTCAAGTCACATGGATCCGAAAGTAAATGACAAATTTACTGAGTGGTTGAACATGAGATATGGTTTGATCCAGGCATGTAAAGTCGTCAGAGGAAAGATACACAGATATCTGGGAATGACTTTGGATGTCTCGGTGAACGGAAAACTCAAAATCCGCATGGACGACTATGTCAAGAACATGTTGGAAGACTTTCCTATCAAGTTCAACAAGGATTCAAAGCAGGAAACACCAGCTGGTAACGATTTACTGGAGGCTGGGAAAGAAAAGTTACTCAATGCTGAGTACCGTCAAATCTTTCATACTACTGTTGCAAGGGGACTTTATGTCTCTAAGAGAGCTCGTTTGGATATCCATCCAACGATTACTATTCTTGCCTCGAGAGTTCGAGAACCTACAGAGTCTGATTGGAAGAAGTGTGTTCGCATGATGCAATATTTGTTTTGTACATTGTTGTATCACCTGACACTTTCCGCTGAATCACTACAAGTCATGAAATGGATGATCGACGCATCTTTTGCGGTGCATCCAGATTTCAAGAGCCATACTGGCGGCACTCTGTCCTTTGGAGGAGGTGCAGCTCAAGTGATGTCGAAGAAACAAAAATTAAACAGCAGAAGCAGTACGGAAGCGGAACTGATTGCTGTTGACAATGTTGTCACAATGATACTATGGACAAAGTTGTTCATGGAGTGGCAAGGGTATCCGATCGAGAAGAATATCTTGTATCAGGATAACAAAAGCGCGATTCTACTGGAAGAGAATGGTCGCAAGAGCGCGGGCAAAAGAAGCGGAGCTATGAATATTCGTTATTTCTTTATCACAGATCAAGTTGAGAAAGGAAATGTTAAGATCAAATACTGTCCAACTGACAATATGACTGCGGATTTTATGACTAAGCCATTGCAAGGTGAGAGGTTTTGCAAGTTCAGGGATCTGATTCTTGGTCCACAGGACTAGGTCAGACAAGAATGTATATGTTCAAAAAATGAAAATACAAAACAAAAATAAACAGTGAATGAGAGCATGTCCCATTGCTGCCAATGGTGATTGTCACAATGGCAGGAGTGTGTTAGGATATGACAAAGTTTTTACGTTCCAAACGAAACTATTCAAGTACGAGGTTCTGGACACGTGCGATCGGAATTTGATCGTGCAAGATGTCGGGATTTGACGCAAGTATGCCGGACGCAAGTCTGTCGGACAATCTGTATCCACACAAACAGGAAAAGATCCTGTACATGTGGAATATCGATGTTGTGTACGATGCAGTAGGGAATAATGCAAGATATCCCAAAGTACTGCATTCAACACAGAATTGCCGTAGAAGTCGAATCAAGTTCTGTAAACAAGGGATTTTCCAAGGGAAAATCGTCGAACTCACTTTTGTGATTGAATCATCAATTCAAGCCAAACATGAATCAAATAGGAACAATTTCACTCAAAGTATACCTAGACACAGGAGAACTATTGTCGTGAAAGTGTTGTACAGTTGATTACAAATTTAGATTGTCTGAGCGCTAAAGGCACTCACGATAGAGCACATTTTGCTTTATTCTAACATTTCGTTTGGAACGTAAAAACTCATATTTCGTCATATCCCAACACCATTGGTCCATCCAATCATATTAGAGTAAAGCAGCTGAATTAGTGAATTGCACGTGCTACAAAGAAAATCGAGACAATATGATTGGATGGTCCTGTTGTCCATTTCAATATGATTGGATGGTCTAGTGGACCATCCAATCACATTTTGCAACAGTCACCCATTCGATAATGACATGTAAAAGCATTGAGGGGAGGCTGTTTGTCATTAGAGGACTTGTGCCATGCCATCAAGGCTTGGTAAATACATTCAGCAGCCTCTTGTTGCTCTCTTTTGTGCTCAAATCACTCATTCACTTCATCTTCACCAACAAATGCCTTATTTGACATGGCCATAGATTGCTGGGCAGCTTTTTCGCGCCAGATTCCACCATTTGGACCAGAAAGCAGTGGGCGAATCCATCCAATCGACGTTTGTTGGTCATGGACAAGCGTTTCAATGTGATGTACAACATTGATTGATAATATCTGCCGTTTGGATTGTCATTGTTTCTGCAGAGCATTCCCGCCAATCTTCTTGCCAACTGGCTGCAAATCCCGGCAGCGGCAATTGGAATGGGGCAATGTGATTGGATGGTCCACTGGTCCACGAGCACGTCGAGCCGTGGACCAGTGGTCCACGAGGATATCGATCCGTGGACCAGTGGTCCACGAGCACGTCGAGCCGTGGACCAGTGGTCCACAAGCCAGCCAATCCGCCACTTGTTCTGTTTCGAATGGGTTGTTGTACATGAGTATTCTTCTGAGACTTGCCATTTCAGGTAATCTGGTGAGAAAATCTCTTGTACCTACCCAGCCGATATTATTGCCGCGGACATCCAGAATTTCAAGTTTGGTTTGCTTGCCAGTCAGATGTGGATACAAATCTGTGAGATCTGTCATTTTGCAACGCCCAAGTTTAAGAAATTTCAAATTCTGGAACCCAAGAAGCAAGGGGGCCACAGCTAGCTGGGGTTGTGTAATCCAACGCCCATCTGGAGTCCAGATGAGACTAGTCACACTGCTGTTTACCTCGGCTGCTTCGTAGTTCGTATCCTCATCCAGAACTATGTCACACATCGTTAGGTCCAGGGTACTTGCTTTGCACTTGAGTTCAGTGTCCTGGTTAATTGTGCGCACAATGCCAAATGATTGTTGCAAGAGTTGAAGATTGATTGGTATTTGGTAATAGCTCAATCTATCCAAGGCGGGCAGGTTGGTCAATCCGTAAGCTAATGTTCTCAAAGAGGGTTCGAAGTCATCTGATGTAACCTCCCCTTCCATGTACTCCACATCCGCCGTGAATTCCAGGTTACGGATCTTATCGCGGCTTTCACTTGACAGTACTGACGTTATGGATCTCCATCCAATGTTTCTCAGTGAAAGAGACGGGCTTCCCTTGACAGCAAGGTCGATGATGTCGGAATCAAGTGAAGTACACTGACCATCAAGTTGAATTTTGGCATAGTTCGTGTGCCGACCAAGGAGCTCCATCACCATTTGACGGGTAGCAGCCTCGTGGCCCACAAAGTACCCGTCATTCCACCTTTCTGACTGCATCGTTGTGCCAACATTCTGGATGACTAAAAAATCAATTTTAAAAAAGGAGATTATTAATAGTTCAATCAGAGAATATTTTCTTGACGCGCGTGGAACGCTCTCACCCTCCGCAAACAGGAATGATGTTCTTTGAATAGTCCATATGTCTTAAACAAGTAATCTGTACGACCAATAAGATTTCGCAAGATTCCGTCTCCAAGATTCCCATTTTCCTGCAGCTTCCAACTTTGATTTGACTTGTTTGACCACCGTTCCCGGCTGTTCCTGTGTATCTTTCCTCTGACAATTGTACATGCCTTGATTGAACCATATCTCATGTTTGACCACTTAGCAAATTTGTCATTTGCTTTCGGATCCATGTGACTTGACATAAGATCGTCAACATGAAATCTGATAGTTTGCTGTTTTTCATCAACAACTTTGTTAGCAACACACGGGTCATACCCGCACATAGATTACTCGCTTTCCGTTCTCTAAAACAACGTATTTGCGATACTCTGGGGCCATGTCAATCAATATCTGGACCATCATGCCAGTGATTTTCATGTAGATACAATCTAGGCACGTCCAGTGTCATTACATCTCTACCTTTGTGTGCATCAATAACACAAGTAGTGGTAATTGCTTCTTGCTAGAAGTAAAAATCTATCAGTCTTGCAATTGTGAGCTAGAAGTCATTATTCTACTTTCTATTTGTACTTCTCAGTCAACTCACTTCTCCTTATGTATTGGTAGCCATTTGCTCTCATCAATACTCCGAGCAGACATAGTTCAATCTTGCATAATGCGTTTTCCCTTCAGTGCCTTTTTACACTTTCCATTTACTCTTTAAGCCGTTCTCTATTCTCCAAGTATCTCGTTTCTCCATTCTCCAAATATCTCAAAATACATCTTCAACACCCTTCCTATTTTGTAGTTCCTTCATTGACATTTGTCATCATCTTCGGGATGTGTTTCTTGTGTAGGTTTCCAGATACATTCTTTGTCATGATGTCAGATTCATTGTCAGTTCCTTTGACAAATAAAATCTTCAAAATACCATCCGGTCCAGTGTATTGCGTTACAAATTTTGTGCGAATGTCCACATGTTGTGTTCTCTGGTTCGTTGCAACATTTGTCGCCATGAAAATTGCCGCGGTATTGTCAACTTGAATAACAATTGGATATTCGACTTTTACTCCCATGGTTTCCAGGATCTGTGCGATAAACGATAGTTCTTTTGCCATTTCGCTCAAGGCAATCCATTCTGCTTCTGCGCTGCTCAAAGTCACTGTTTGTTGCGCTTTGCTTCTCCAACAGATAGGGAATCCACATAGGTAAACGATAAAGCCGCTGGGTCTCTTGCATGGTAAACCTTTAGATCCAATGACCGGTTCAATTTTCAATCCGAGTCCTCTCGTATCCAATACATGCTTGATGATCCTCTTCATCTCTTTCATTGCTCTTGGTGTTGTCGAATCAAGTACCTTTGATAGTTCTCTTACTGCGTTTGCGATATCAGGTCTCGTGTGTTTCACAAGGTATAGCAACTTTCTGGTTCCACTTCGAAATTCTTCTGTTCTTCAGGTGTCACAGTTACACCTTCTTTGCTGCAAACAAGTCCTTGTCCTGGGGTTCCAGGTGTCTTGTATTTAGGCATGTCTCATACCATTTCTCCAAAGTCCTCTTCCAATGTTTTCAACAAGTGTGATTGACGTAATACTGCTTTGGTGCAATCTTTGTTGAAGCTGACGTCGCAGCTCAGATAATCTTTCAAAGTCTTTTCAGTCCTTTCTCCTTCAGTTTTGACTCAACAAGCTTCAGCGCTTCAGGTTTTCCAATGCAAAGACAGTCATTGACATATAAGCCAATGAAGACAATTCCATGTTCACTGTTCCAATGCATTAAACAAGGATCTGCATCTCCGCCTTCAAATCCAACATCTTTCAAAATCGACACACACTTTTTCCACCATTGTCGCGCTCCTTGCACAGTCCCATATGCGGATTTCATTAATTCAATACAATCTTCACTCATATCAATTGATGAGTCCACAAGATCATATCCAACAGGCAGATTCATGAATATTTGTTCTCCTTCATCAAATTCTCCATGTAGAAAGGCTGTCTCCGCGTGGATTAGCCAAGCGTCAAGTTTCCAAATCATCATTGCAACAAGTAGTATTCTCCATGTGATGTCATTGATAACTGGAGCAAAGTGTTCTGTGAAGTCAACTCCAGGAATTTGTGAGTATCCGCATGCAACAAGTCTTGATCAAAACATTCCATTTCGTTTGATGTTGAATACCCATTTGCATTTGATGCATCTTCTTCCATATGGTAGATCTCTTCGTTTCATTTTTCGCCAAACTCCACGGCGTATCATGTTGCGAAATTCCTTTCTAATCGCTTCTTGCCATTTGTCCTGTTGATATATGATATGTCTGGAAGATCTTTGGTTCTTTGTAGTTGGTTTCTTTGGTTTCTTCGTTTTCCATAATATTTTCCATCATTTCTTCTGTCACTTGTAGCGCTAGATCTGGCCACTGTAAAATCCGGATTCATCATAATGTTTGCAACATGTTTGCAACATCGTTTTTGTTGAAAAATGGTCCGAAGTATAGGTTGGGTCCCATGTCGGTTCATATCCCATGTTTGTAAATCTCTCTGCCATCTGGGAGTTGGTGCTGTTGTCGCCGGTTGTTGGGTTGGCGCAAAGCGTGTAACTCATTGTGGATCTGCGCCCAAGTGCAATTGTACTGCTGGCATTGTTGCCCTTTCCGTAGCCGCTGGTGCTGTTGGAATCGGTCCCGTTTCTTGTGTTGTTGTATTTGCGCCGTTTGCTTGAGTTGTCGGTGCTTGTACAATATCATTGTCATTTGCGGTTTCCAATAGGATCTCCTGTGTCAATCGTAGTGTGTTAGTTTTCTTGATTCCCTTCCAATCTCCATAGCTTTTGTTCAACCATGACACATCTTGACTTGAACTGATTCGCTTTGTCTTTGGGTCGTAGAATTTGTAAGTGTCTCCACTGGAGTTATCAGCATATCCCACAAACATGACTGTTCGTCCACGGTCTTTCAGTTTGCCCTTGATCTTTGTGTGTACCTTAATCACTGCCATTTCACCAAATGTTTTCAAGTGTCTCGCAAATCTAGCTTCTTGTTTCCAGAATTTTTTATGTGAACTTTGTTCACCTCGTTGATAGACAAGTGCTGTGTCTAATTTTGTCGCTGTATCTGCTGCTTCTGTCCATAGGTTGTCCCGCATCGTTTCTGTCATCCGAGCAGTGTTCATCATAGCTCTAACGCGTCCGAAAGCTGTTGCAAACTTCCTTTTGACTCGTCCATTTCGCTGTGGTGTATTGGGCGCTGTGAATTCAAATGTCAAACCAAGTCCTTTATTCTTTGCTTCATCTTTGAACTCTATCACATTGAATCTTTTTGACTTTGAATCCTTTCACATTCAGGTCCTTCACCAAAGCTATCATCTTAGCGCTCGTTTCGCTTTTCTTCTTTAAGAACATTGAAAATATGAAATCGGATGCGTTGTCCATCACTTGGAGCCAAAACATGTTTCCACCTGCGCTTGTCTTCTATACACTGGATATATCGATCATCAGTTCTTCCCCTGGGACCTCGGATCTGTTGACTGGTTCCTTTGAGATGTTAGCTTGTCTCGATTTTGCCAATGCACAGTTCTCGCACTTTTCCAATTTTGATTGCAGTGTCAAGTTGTATGTATGTGCTGTATTGCAAAGTATTACTTCTCCTGGGTGTCCGTACATTTTGTGGAACTTGGCGATGCTGATTTCCCTTCCTGCTTCCAATACAGCGTATGCACCTTCTGCTGTTACTTGTTCCATTTCTGTATTATGGAATTGAACCGCTGCGCCTACCAGGCTACCTTAATCTGACTAGTCCAATTCTAAGTATCTAATACACGTTCCAACATCCTTTCTTATTTGATACTTAGATATAGTCCTTCAGCCTCGCACACCCATTTCTGGTGTCGAAACCCTGCACGTCCATCTTTATCCTGTTGATGCAGACAGTCGGCATTCATTTCTAAAATCAACAAGGGAAATGTGAATCGAGGACTCGATCCCAAAATACCTTACCATGTCAAATATAAGGTATTACAGAATCGAACCGCTGCGCCTACCAGGCTACCTTAATCTGACTAGAGTATCTAATACACGTTCCAACATCCTCCCTCATTTGATACTTAGATATAGCCCTTCAGCCTCGCACACCCATTTCTGGTGTCATGATGAATCCAGAACTTGTTGGGAAGATTCTGTCAAAACCAATAGTTGTTGGTCCATGCGTCACTGTGATTATCCGCCCTTGGTTACCGAGGTCGAAACCCTTGTCCATCGCGGCCCAAAGGCTGAAAAGGTTGCACCACAGCTCCGGGACAAATCTGACTTTTGTTAGCACCATCATCACAACCTTTCCATTTGTTTGCTTAACCCGCAGCTTGAGCTTTCCGATCTTAGTAGCCACAATAGTTTTGCCACTTCCAACCTTGATCTCTTCTCAAATGACATCATAGTCATACAGGTTTGTGTTATCATTGCACATATGTGTACTTGCTGCGCTGTCTCCAAACCAAGTCTGCGGTGTCAGTTTCATCTCCTCAGATTTCCAGTTATCCATGTTGGCCATTGCAATTCCGTTTAGGGTCAAGGTGATTTCACCTTGGATGCTTGTTTCAGTCTGCACTGTCGACTTATCATCCCCATCATCATCATAGAAGTATGGATCGTCTTTGTTATGAGTTGAGTCTTCATCGTCATCATCGCTATCGTCGTCGTTGCTATTGTATTGCCGTCTTGCGATCAACTGTGGGATCCCGTCGTAGGTTGAGTCGTCATCAGAGATGTTGTCTTGCCTGCCAATCGATGGTACCTCATCATGTCCATGACAACACCATGTTGGTTGACCAAAAATAGTGGAATGTCATCATTGCCAGAGTTGTCGGAGTCGTACTCGTATTTGGGCATTCCATGATCGTGGTCCCATTTGTCTGATGCGTAGTGCTTAGCATTCATCTTTCGTTCCACTAGTTGTGGGATCTCGTCCCCATCTGAATCGTATGTACCTTGTCCGTCAATGTCAGAATAGCGTTTGATATCAATCTCTTCTCTGACAAAAGCGTATTCACTTGTAGGCTTTGTCGCATGGAATGTCTTGTCATTTTTCGCGTCGCAATCATTTTGTCCAAAGTTTGCGATAAAATTATCAAAGAAATCGTCGTGAAGGAAATTTCTGTGCTTGTGAACCTTATCGTTTGGATCTTCCACGATGGTATGCACAATCACTTCATCAGCAGTTTCTTCATCCTCATAGTCGCTCTCTTCACATTCTTCATTCCACTCAAACCAGACGTTCTTTTTCTTTGTGGGCTCCTCTGGTGCAATAAATGACTCTGTTGCCATCAACATTACTTCAGCAACATCATCCTCGTTGTCATCGTTGTTGGTGCTGCTGATGTTGTTCTTTCCATTGTTTTGGTTCTCTAGGTTTCTTCTGCATATAAAACGTAAGATTGATCCGCGCAAAGCATTGGTCGATGATTTGTGCAAGCAAATTCAAAAATGGAGGGACGAGGGTTGTGAAGTTTTGCTGGGGATTGATGCTAATGAAGACCTTTTGGTCAACTCCCCGGACTCCATACGACAGCGGTTTTGTGAGTGTGGAATGGAGGAAGCAATTTTGAAACGCCATCCTCCCACGGCGACCCACCAACAAAATCAAAGCAACGTTCCCATTGACGGAATCTTTACCACTTCAGGTGTTCCGGTTCTGGCTGGTGGCTACTACCCATTTGGTGAATTTGTTGAATCAGACCACAGGGCACTATGGATCGATATCGACTTGAACACGGCTTTGGGCAATTTCACACCCCAGGGGTCTACCTTTAAACCTCGGAAGCTCACCCTTTTGGATAAGCGGTCGGTCAAACGCTATCTTCAACTGGTTCACTTGGGATACGAGGAGTATGACATCCCGTCCCGTCTCACCAAGCTCAATCAGCGCATTGAATCTAATGGACAACAGATGTCACCCTCGCTGGCACGCAAATATAACTGCCTTCACCGGCAGATGTATATGATACGGCGGCAGGCTGAAGACAATTGTCGCACTACCTCCTCTGGCAAGGTTCCTTGGTCTCCCAAATTGCAGGGCTTCTGGGATCGGTTGAGTCTCTGGAAGCTACTCCTTAAAGGACGCAAGCGATGTCGTGTGAGCTCCCGAAAGGTCCGGCGCCTGATGAAGAAGACAAGGCTGTGCACCGCGTGGAAGAAGACGACTGCTGAACTGGAAGTGGCATTGGCAGCTGAACAAAGGGCATACAAGCAAGCCAAACGTCAGGCAACCCAATTGAGACGGGACTTTCTTACGGTTCAGACAACGGATGCAAAGAAGAAGAAATGGAAATCTCAGAAGGCCCACGATAGATTCCTTCGGTTACGACGAATGAAACAACGAGAGGAGGCGAGACGCCGTCGTCGCGCCCAACAAAAAGGATCTACAGGGGGTTTACGGGCTATTCAGATGGAAGAACAATTACCAGATGGCACTCCGCAGCTGCGTACTATCACCGACCGTGCTCTGGTTGAAGAAGGTTGTATGCAAGAAAACGCGGCACGGTACGACCAGACGCGTGCTCCATATACCACTCCACCTATGGCGGAACCCTTGTATACAGCATTCACCGGCGCTCAGGCTGAAGCCAATTCCATTGCACTATTGGAAGGCCGCTACTCCCTGCCCGACCTTCTCGACCCCGCCACTACGGCCTTCCTTTCACATTGCCGTTTTCACAAGGATCACTTACCTGTGCACCTTGAGGTGACTACCTCTGATCATGTGTACTTCTGGTCCTGAAATCCGGAGGACAAAGGCTCAGAACCTCATGGCTTGCATAACGGACACTATAAGGCAGCGGCCCAGTGACCAGTTATTGCCTCTTGCGATGCCCTTTTTCGCAATATTCCTTTGGCAACGGGATTTGTCCCCTCAAAGTGGCGGAACTTGATGAATTTTGCAATTGAGAAAAAGGCAGGCGACTTCCAGCTGTCAAAAATGCGTACTATTCAGTTAATGAATTTGGAGGCACAGGCAAACAACAAAAAAGCGGGTCGAGCGGCCATGCGATATGCCAAGGAACACTCCTTGATTCCAGACGGTCAGTGCGGTTCTCGGAAGCGTCACCAGGCCATTGATCTGGCCCTGTCCAAACGTCTGGTCTGGGACTTGTTGATTCTCCAACGATGTGCGGCTGGGTGGATCTCTAACGATGCCAAATCCTGCTTTGATTGTATTGTTCATTGGGTGGCAATCATTGCAATGCTCCGGTTTGGGCTGACATGGAGGGCCCTATCCTCCATGTTTAACATGCTGTCATCAGCGACGCATTGGGTGCGGACGGGCTTTGGCGATTCCGAACATACTTTCAAGCCGCCTTCTGTTATCCCCTTCCAAGGCTGTGGTCAGGGCAATGGGGCTGGACCCCCTATATGGATCTCCGTGAGCTCCGTTCTCATTACCATGATGGAAGCGATGGGTTACGGCTTTGAGTGCCTCTCAGCACTGGAGTCACAGTTGGTCACAGCCCAATGCTTCTGCTTTGTCGACAACACCAACGTCATTGAGGCTGGCAATACAGTCCATCACTCGGGTGAAGCCATATGTGCATCGGTGCAGGATGCAATCAACCCCGAGAAGTCCTTTTGGTGGCTCATTGATTTCGAGTGGGACTCCCGCACACATCGGAAAAGAAAGTCAGTTGATATTTAAGGGACCATGCCCCAAAATCAGCAGGGCGTGTCTTTTTGGGGCTTGGGTCACCTCCCCTAGAATTGATGAAGGCGATATTTTCAGAGAGCCCATGTGATTATGAAGCATTCTGTGATTTGTGACTTTATTTGTCACTTGCGACCTCTGGCATTCAACTTACCCATGTCCTACTTTCAGAGAACCCTTCTCATTAGGAACCTTCCCTTTTGTTTGTCGTTGTGTTTGTCACTCGTGACCTTTGTAACCGAAATGACCCATGCCATATTTCATGACCTCCTGATGATAAGCCACTGTTGTATGCTTTCTATTGCAACCTACTGCCACTAAATTCAATAATAAACTCAGTATCCTATAATGTCTTTATGGGTAGCCTCAGCTCCTACAAATGTTTGTCTGACACTGCATTGTGGGTCGGAGAGATCTCACTAGTGGGACCATCATCTCGAGCGGTCTAATAAACCTTATAAAACAGTCTCAGAGCAAGAAGATCCGAAGGACTGGAATCAACAGAAGATGCTTGGATATTTATCAGGCTCAGGACTTGGTTGACTGGCCAGATATAGACATTTTAACCTCTATTGGGACTGTTTTGAATTCTCAGCCAGGTGACCACAATCATTTCCCAGAGAGAGGAGAGGAAGAGGTCCTCAGTGACATATCCATGGAAGATGACAACAACATGTCTCTTGAGCTTGACTATTCCCCAATTATCTCAGACATGACTCTAAAGCCATCAAACAGTCTTCCAAAGAACACTTATTTTAGCCATTACCCGGTTGAAGCAAACTTTTCAAAGGAGTCACCATTGTCCAAGGCAGAATTCAATCAACAAACATCTCCGTCCACCAAACTGCTTCCACCAATTTCCCTGAAAGCCCTATTGTCTTACAATCAGAAAATGGAACAGCATTGTAATGAATCACACCAATCAGCAGGGGATGAACCAGCCTCATCTCATGATGACACATCAGACATTTGGGAATTGGAAGATGAAGTGGTTGATGCCTATGACTTAGGCAATAATGATAGTGATGATGATGAATCCAATCTTGCTGGTCAACAAGTGGGGCAACCTGGAAACCACAATCCGCCTCCAAATTTGTTGCCAAAATATCTGAAAAACAGACTCTCAAGAGAGAACGCAAACCGGGAACACCTACCAGAAGACCCACCAAAAGATGTCATAGTCCATATGATGATGATGCAACTACAAGAAAAACATGGATTATCCTTTGCGGCTGTTGATGACATTTACAACTGGGCAAACAAGGCATGTAAGATCCACCCAGACATCTTTCGTGGTCCCCCACCAAGCCGTGAACGTATGATCATGGAGTATCGGAACCAATTGGGAATGGATGATGGGTTTGAATTCAAAGAGGAGGTTATCAATTGGCTGCCCGACAACAAACCAGTAGTGCAACATGTGCGACCTTTTATAGACTGTGTCTATGAACTTCTCACAAACAAAGTCGTCCTTGGCCCAAATAGCTGCAATATCAACCTTCCCCATGAGTCAGATCCCTTCAAGAACAAGCCCTCCATGCCACCCAAGGAAGTTTCGGAGCTTCATTATGGTTCTTGGTGGCGAAAAACAATGAAGATGAAGCGCAAGGGTTGTGGAAAAGAAAGCCGTAGAATCACTTGTCCCAGTATTCTTGAAACGGACGAAACCCATACAGACACCAATGGGCGTTTGACTGTCACAACCGTCAACATTAAGCTTGGTCTTTACAACAACAATACAAGAAAGAAAGAAGAAGCTTCTACCACTTGGTTTTATCTTCCCAATGATGAATCAGAGGCCGCCCACCACGAGCAGAAGACTGAAACTTTTCACAAAATTCAAAACCTGCACTCGGCCCTCCGTAATGGAATGACTGACCTGAAGTACTTGATGGATAATGACATTGGGTTTGAGTGGGATCTATTTTATGGAGGCAAATCCCATACAGTTGAGCTGGTGTTTTTCCATAGCTTTCATCATATCTGATACAGCCATGCACAACAAACTTTGCGGAAAGTTCAATAACCATAACAAGAATATTCAGTCAATGTGTTGTCATTGTGACATCTCAACTAATGACATTATCAATCCAGATGCCTTCAAGAAGGTGAACCTTTATTCCCCAGAAGACTTTGACACCAATCAACATCCCCCTGGAGACGAAGAATATTGGAAATCCGTGTCACACCACCCAATTGTCAACGCATTGGATGAAATGTGCCATGGATCGAACTCACACAAGACGCACATAGACTGTCCAGCCGAGCTTCTGCATATGCTTCAGAAGGGGGGGCAGATGTGGGCAGTTGAATCATTTGAGTATCAGTTTCGAAATGGGACCAAAATCACCTTGGATGACAAATCCTTTGCCTCCAAAAAGAAGGGCATCAAGAAAGGACTGGAAAATCTGAACTTTATTGGTCATCAGATGGGTGCCTTCCTCAGCCGACAATCAGACCGCAACAAACCAAGGACCAAGTTTAAGAATTCCCTCTTTTCCTCGGCAAAAAAGTGTGGTCATGAGCATGCAGGAGTTATTCTCTCCATATTGTTGACATTAATGACAGATCGGGGACGACAAATATGTCTTGAGGAAAGAACAATGGAAGAAGACTTTCTTGACAACTTTGTTTACCTCTTTGAGATTGTCCTAGTCATGGAGCAGTGGTTGAAGTCACCTTCATTTCCAGCTGACGAGGTTCTGGATGGCACCCGGCTTTCCAAAGCTCTTGGTGTATATGTGGAGAATATTGGTGCCATATGCCAAAGGAAAGGAATGGGCGCTAGACTGATAAAAAATCATCTCATGCTTCATCTTCCACATTACATAATGCGATGGGGCCCTCCCAGCGGCTGGGATGGTTCCAACCTGGAACGTTCCCACAAGAGACAGGCCAAACGTCCTGCCCAGCTTACACAAAGACGACAAGACTGCTTCATTGCCCAACTTTCTGCCAGGTACACTGAGATGAGGCTCATGCAGTATGCCACACAGTTCTTTGGCTTATGCAAGTCTCTTTGGGCAACCAATACTGGACGGGGTAGACAATCAACCAAACCAATGGCCTGTACTGGTTCAAGATTCACTGTAGGTCTAGATACCACTAATTCCAGACCAGGTGTCAAGTGGACAAAGGATCCAGGCAGACAGGTTCACATACAGACTGTTATTGATACGGCCTTTGACCACATTGTCTCCAATCTCCCCCTCAACAATTCAAAGAGTGCAAGGACAGTTGATGGCTTCACTGAATATAAAAAAGAAATCAGAGGGGAATCGGTCATCTTTCGGGCCCACCCAAGCTTCAGGTCCAAGTCTAGGCAACAGCGGGATGTTTGGTATGACTGGGCATTGTTTGATTTGGAGGATCAAGGTTATGGGAGCTGCTTTATCCCGGGTCAGGTGCTAATGTTTCTTCATGTCCCACATCTACAAAGGGAAGTGACAGTCAATGGAATGAGAGTAAGGCCAAACAAGCCACATGCCATTGTCAGGCTGTTCAAGGAAAAACCAAGATCCGACTTCCGAGAGGTCAAGACTCACAGTGAGACAGGCGAAGAGAATGAGTACAGCCTCTTGGTGGAGTTTGGCGATACCCAAGATGAACTGTCCATCATCCCTTGTGATTATATTGCTGAACCCACAATTGTTGTGCAGAATATTCCAATGCTACAACCTCAGATGCCACTGAATCCAAAACAAAGAAGAGCAAGGGAGAAGATGGATGGTATAATCAAACCACTTGGTGAGGGATACTTTGTTGTCTCCCCACGAAGCACCTGGAGTAGCTGCTTCTCCCACTTGATCCAGAGTTATCCATCCACACTAGGCTTTAATAGTCCTTTGTAGTCTTTGCAGCTAACACTCATTCTTAAGTTTTCTGTCGCTTTTTAGCATTCCCCATCATGTCTGAATCCGAATCTGCACTTGAGTTGCCATTGTCATCTTCATTGTTGAGATATTTGTAGTGGAAGGTCATCACTAGGAAAAACATGGTTGCTTGGGGTTCGGTTTTATGATCATCCAGGAAAATGGAAAGCATCACTGTCTGCTTGAATGGTTTCTTTGTAGTACTCATACTCATGGAGAAATCATAGGCCAAATCCTTGACCACCACATAGACATCCAAGGTGACTCTGGAGAATCCCATTGGTGTATTTGAGTCAATACCAAGCCTCACCCAAAGCCTCTGCACATCCCCACCCTCTTCACCAAATGCATTTGGAAAACTAGGTCTGTTGTAGTACATGCCATCTCTCATGCAGTTCCAAGCAAAGATTGCACAGTCTCTAACAGAGGCCACAAGAACCTTATCCTCCCAGTGACCCACCTTGTACTCAAGGTCTCTCAGGTGTCTCCCCTTGTTCTCAAAGTGCAATGCTTCCTCCACAACATCCCAAGAATACACTGAAATTCCACCGTTCACTCCACTAAAAACCTGGTCTCCACCAGGTTGTTGTTGACACCAGCGTATAATAGCCTTGGTCAGCTCATCAAACCTGGGTGTAAACTTAGGAAAATCACCTCCTTCACCAGATGAACCTTCCTTCTTGTCTTCATCAGATGACAGTTTTTCCTCCGATTCATTCTCTTTGGGATCCACCTTAATGATTGGTTCCATGTGCTCTTGGAAGAACAAAGAGTCCATCCTATCATATCTGAAGGATTGCCAATGCATTTTCTTTGGTGGGGGTGATTGTTGTACATGAGACATCTTCCCAGTTGGAAAATATCTTTCAACACACTTGCCATCCTTTGCTACTGGGAAGTTAGCACCCTCGCAAAATCGGAATCCATGTTCATAACAGTGTAGGTTCTTGAACATCATCAACTGAATAGTTGAGACCAACACATAGTTTTTGTTACCATCGTCATCACAGTAGAAAAATTCTGTTGTGCCCCATGCTGCAATTTCATCATCATAGCATGATCCAAGCCTGGTATAACAGTGTATCACATCATTGCTTGCAGGTGTTGAAGCAGGTGACACGGATGATGATGATGATGATGATGATGATGATGATGATGATGATGATGATGATGATGATGATGATGATGATGATGATGATGATGATGATGATGATGATGATGATGATGATGATGATGATGATGATGATGATGATGATGATGACAGAGCTGGTGCCGGGGCCGCTGCTGGTGACGGGGGCTTTGGATTTTTCTTTGGCTTTGGCAGCTCAATTCCTACTGCCACATTGACGGTCTAGGCCAAATGGAATTTGTAATCGCTATTTTGCTCACAGTAGAGATACATGGTAAAGGCTTTGGCACACAGAAACGACCACCAGTCAATAGCCACGTTTGAAACTGCCTTGTTGTTTGTTCCCAAGCCCTTTCTCCTTTTTGTGTCGCTTCTTTGTTGTAAAAGGTGAAAATTGTTCTGCTTTGCTCCTACCTCTGGGAATACATACTTCCCAAGTTTGACCAGAGCATCTTTCATTCTTGTTGTTGTTTTGGCATTTGTGATAGTGGAAAACTTCTCCGATCGAATCCATTTGTAGAATGAGCGGGCTGCATGGCCTTCTGTCCTTTTTTCCCCACCACTTGATGATTGTGGCCTTGTGGTCCAAAATGTGGGCTTCAGATGGGAAAAGAACGCACAAGGATGCATAAAAGCCAAGAATTTGATGCTTACGGCTGGCATCATTGACCACCATATTGAAAGAAAAGTAGAGACAGTCTTCAGCGGTTTGACGATCAAACGAACTGCAGGTAGCAATCTGAAGGATGTGCTTCATGATACAGTATGAAAGATAGATGCATTCAAGTCGGTCCCATGATTTCTGGACAAATGTTTTCTCCACCTTGATGTCAAAGAACATGGCTTCACGGTGGTATTCCTGAGCCGTAGTCTGCCATTTTTTTCGCAGGTCAACCATATCCTCATGCATGGTCTTGATACGTTTTTGCAAGTCTTTTTGCTGAACAAGTGTGAACAAATAGCCAAAGCCTGCCCTAGCATTCTTCTGAAGTTTCCATGAAGAGATATGGTTGTCAAGAACCGCAGAGGGTGGCAATTGGAACCACCTGTCGGCAATGTTGCGAAGAAAGCACATGGCCTCCAATCCAAAATTCTGCTCTGGCTGTTGGACGGATCTTTTCAATACTTCTGCCAACGTTGGTAGAGTGCTTTGATTCCAACTGATTGAGACGGTTGATTGTGACTGATTGAAGTCTGGTGATTGCTTCATATCGTCCTGTTGTGTGGGTAGGGGTATAGACTCTTTGTCTTGGGAACAATCTATCCAAATTTTAGACACCTTGTCGTCTAAAAGCATTAAAGAACTATTGTCCTTGCTAGTATTGTTGGAGCGGTCATCATCATCTACACTTTGCTTTTCTTCCATGGCACCGTCAACGCCTTTCTTTGGGATAGTGATGCCATCTTTATCACTTGCAATTGGGGGTTTCTCGCAGCTTTGTTGCTGACGGGCGTCATCATCCAACAGAGTCCCATTTGCTTGTTCCCAAACAACAGCAGTGTCTCTTTTGACGGCTGTGTCAACATTGCCATCTTCTGCAATTGATTGTCCACCGGCCTTCAATTTGTTGCCAATTCGTTGTTGGGCGTTGACAACCTTCAATTCCTTGCCAATTTGTTGTTGTTTGGCATCCATATTGCCGGTTGGTTGTTGCTGCATTTATTTTGGATTTTTGTGAATTGGGATTTAGTTTGTCCGATGAGTGTGTGGATTCAAATTTAGGATCTGCCATACATTTGCACCGGAAGCCTAGAGGCTCAGTCCAAATGTACCACGATCCTGCACGTACAAATCTACACGGTCAAAAGTGATAAAAAAGTTTCTCCGATGAGCCCAAGACACAACATTGAAGACACAAATCAAATGATTGTCCAGTTCCATTCTCCGGCAGATGGCCACCAACCTTCAATTCGTTGCCAATTTGTTGTTGGGCGTTCATTGTTGGGCATAGGTAACCTTCAATTCCTTGCCAATTTGTTGTTGTTTGGCATCCATATTGGCGGTTGGTTGTTGGTGTTTTTATTTTGGATGTGTGTGAAATGGGATTTCGGGCTACACCTGATCCTGCACAAATAATTCTGCTCTGTCGGAAGTGATCCAAAAGTTTGTCCGATGAGTGTGTGGATTCAAAGTTAGGATCTGCCATACATTTGCACCGGAAGCCTAGAGGCTCCCTCCAAATGTACCACAATCCTGCACGTACAAATCTACACGGTCAAAAGTGATCAAAAAGTTTCTCCAATGGTATTTGTGACGTTATGCAGGTAGACATTGTGCATTTAAGCCGCAAAATTGGGATTTATTGGTTGAGACATTGCTCGATAAGAATTTCATTAAGAGGAACAAATTTGTCAGCATAACTCCATGCAAAGGTACCAGGATACCACTCAGAGAAATAACGTAGATAGGACAAATCCATAACATTTTTGAGTCATTATGTTAAGTAGACAGTATTCTGGCTGCTTATAATAGTAGGGCAAAAATTCGCGCCAGGATGGATTCAAGCCCATCCTATGGTACATTTCCACGGAAACAACGTAGAAGCACACCTTCCTCAACCTTCCTCCAACCCAATGCTACTTTTAGTACTACCAGGGCCATGTACATTTCAACTGAATCCAGCCTAGACCATCGATAGAAAGATTTCACAGCACACATATCTAAAACATTGAGCAATGGGAAACAAGGCAAGGAGCAAGAAGGCACCAAGCAAAGGGAAGGGCAATGGAAGCAAGAAGAAGATAGCTTCAACCACTGAAACACCAGCAAAGCCCCCACCAAGACAAACCCGTGAGTTTTTTTGAATTACTAGTATCAGAATGTGATTGCTAAACATTGAAGTAACAACAGCATGCTTTGTTTATTGTAGGGGAGTCTCGGAGAAAGGAAAAGGTATATGATGATGATTCAAGTGTGAGCAGTGATGAGGACCTTGAGCGCAACGAGGATGAGGATGATGAGTCCTGTCTGTCTCCTTCACCTAACGCCAGTAGTGGGACTACGACCTCACCAAGAACCGCAACTGCAACCACAGCTAATGAAACAACAACTCCAACAAGAGGAGCTGCGGCAGCTAATGCTTTTGAAGCCAGGTTCCAGCACATGGAGAATCTTCTGGAAAGATTTTTCAGGCACAAGGAAGACAACTGCCGTGTCAGGTGGTTCCAAGAACAGTGAGTGCTGCCAGAAGCGCTTGTTCCCCTGGAAACACTACCATCACAAATTCCAATCGCTCAATGGACAAGCAAGAGCAGATCTTGGTCATGAAGCTACTGCAAGATCAAGACGCAATTAAAAAGGGTCTTTATGCTTTTGTGAAGCTGCATACCTTCTGTCGCATTAAGTTCCCTACTACTGAAGAGAAGGGAGTGCGGGAATGCACCAAGGCAGTCCAGAAAAGTTATGTCCTGTTACCAGAGGGTGTGGATACAGATGTGTTTGCCAGCAAGTGGCAATCAAGTTTGAGAGAGAGACTGAGAATGCTGAGAAACAACTGTCAAAACAGTGCCAAAAAGAAATTTATCAGTGAGTATTCATGTTTCCACTGTTGTGTGACAAAAGCCTGGATCTCACCTGCTTCTTTTGTTGGATATACAAGGTGACTGGAAGGAGGGGGTTGTGCCCCAAAACTCGGAAGCTAGCCTTGTGACCAACTACCAAGACTATGTAGATGATGACGGAAAGGCGAGGGACAATAGAAAGGACAACTATGATTCCTTCCTCTACTTCATTGATCGCATCTTGCCATCTGTCAATGCAGATGTCACTAAGTATTATGGTGATGCAAGATGTCAATTTGGTTTGAGCAATGCTTTCACTGTCACGGATGAAGCATTTGGACTTCTGATGGTGGAGAACTATGTGGAACAGTGGAAGGCACTGGCCAAAGAATGGCCCAGCAGTGACACCACTGAAGATCAAGGACTGAAATGCAAACGCATGTGTTCACTGGGTGGCAGGTACACTGGCAGTGAAAAGGGGATGGTTGCAGGTGGATGGGATAATGGTGGCATCAATCGTTTCAATGAGTTAGCACAGATGGTAAGTACGGCAAAGGAAAAAGCTAGTAGAAACCAGGAAGTTGGAAAACGTAATCATGAATCACTGGAGAGGATTGGAAGGGGATTCTGAACAAAGGCGCAAAAAGGCAAAGCAGCACATTGTAACAGCATATGAGGATGAAGACGAATAGATTAGTGAAAAGTAGGTAGTACAAGTAGTTGATATTATCATACTGTCATTGTGATATTTCAATTGTTGTAGTCATCACATAATCACTTTGGGCATGTGACAATAGATGATGCTGGAAATGCAAAAATGACAGGGTGAAGGTGGTATTGAGACACTCAGTGCATGGTTCATGGTGGCTAGACCGTGTCCCAAAATGACAGGTAGTAGGTGATTTTTTCGCACGGCGAAGGTGACATTAGCACAGAGGCAAAAATAAGTATGAAAAGGTTCTAGTCGAATGGCTGCAAAAAAATCACGTGGCCACATGACATAAGCAGACGGAGCCATGTCCTCATGTGACACGAGCAAGCCAACCAATAGGACCTGACTTTCTTTTCCGATGCAGGCAAATGGAAATTCCATGGGAAAAAAGCTGTCGCTCCCGACTTTGAACTCCAAATTCAAGGTCTTTCAGGTGCTACTGAATCCTTGCGTTGCCTTGAACCAGATGACTCGGAACGCACTTTGGGAGTTATGCTTGCTCCCTTGGAAAACCTTGAGGCCCACAAGGCTCAGATGGTTGCTAAAGCCAAGGATTGGGCAGAACAGCTTTGACCCAACCTGCTTCACAAATATGATGTCATAGAAAAAGAAAAACGGAAAACGAAAAGCACGGAATCAATCGGAACTTGCAAACGGTGTTTGTAACCTAAGTACTAGAGTCTACGTAGAAATCGCAGCAGTTTTATCAATTCAACGGCATTTCACTGTTCTACAATAGGAAAGTATACATCTCTGAAGGTTGTTTCAACGGCTGCTAAGAAGGCAGGCGGATCAAAATCTAAGTCGGGTTCTACCTCCAAAAAGAGCGGAAAGAAACGATTGGAAAATGCATCCTCTGTTGATTTACGTCAACCTAAAGACAGAGATCCCAAGATCTCCAACGATTCCGGAACTAAAGAAGTGATCGACACAGTGCGCCCACTGATTGACTTTGGGCTCTCCACTCAAGATTTAGTCGCTATCGGCTATGACAAGAACTCTACTCAGATCGAGTTTGGAAATCACGTTTTTACGAAATGGATCGACGACCACAACGCCCGCTGGTCTCAAGCCCTTCCCAGGTTCGATAGCCCTTTCCAGGACTTCTATGCTAAGTTCTCGGTCGAAGTTCGAGTCAATATGATTTTCGACGAATACGATAACGACTGGCAACGCGTTTTGGGCTTTTTGATTTCGATTTTTGAGGATGACGACAAGAACACGGAATATATCTGGGGAGTGAGAGCGATCGCTCTACAGGTCGCTCAACAAATTCCTTTCTCCTTCTTTGATATCGGTCTTCTGGGTGATTCGACAATTCAACAAGATGATTTGTACTTCTGTCGTGACGATTCTAATCCTCGCTTACGACAAGAGACACCTTTGGTACAATTTTGGTTGATCTGTGCTACAATGTTCGATCATCCTTGGACTATGATGTTTGACGAATTTCTTGAGGTGACTCCTGTACAATGCATACAGGAAATGAAGACTAAAGTCATCGCGGGCTTTCCGAACGACGCGGTTGACAAAGTTGAAATCCACAAGGGTGTCAGAAAGATTTTCGATCCGGAGTATGAAGATTCCGAGGAAGAAGATGATTCCATCGGTGACAAAGATAATGGCTTGGTTAACAGGTACGCTCAACCTGACGGGTGGGATTCAGACGAGACCGGCGATGACAGCGAATTTGACAATAAGACTGACGACGATGCTGATGATGATGATGAGGATGAGGCATCCGAGGAATCCGTCATTATAGTTGAAAGCACTCGGCCGACAGACAATGAATACGGTGGTAGTCGATCCGGCAGAGGTCACCTCGCTGAGACTCGCACCGTCACTGATGAAACAGTCTCCGAATTGACAGGAAACACAGGTGATGAATCTGACCCGGAATTAGCGTCTCCGCCAAGAAAGAAAGGACGCTCCCAACGGGTATCAATTGATGAGCAAGCTACCGAAATGGACGTGGATGGAACGGACCTAAGCATATGTTCCCGACCCAGTGGAAAGCGGCTGCATCCGGCGACAAGGTCCACTAAACCTGCTACACAGGAGACGGCAAAATCGAGGCCTACAACGAACGCTCCTGGAGCTAAACGGAAATCCCAACGAACTTTGACGCTGGAAGAGCGCCTGGATGATTTGCGCAATGTCGACCTGGATGGAATGGAAGGCAGGGCTATGTTGGTCGAGTTGGGCATGGTCTACAGCTACT